AATAAAGAAGTAAGCAAGGAATAAAGAAAGAAAAATTAAATGTACCCTCTATTTCCAATTTAAAGTTTGATTAGAATCTACTTTTCACAAACCAAAATTTATTACATCCTATTTTATGTAAATTAGAGTAAACATTTTTGATAAATAAATGTATGAGAATATTACCATCTATTTATTATAAAAATTAAAGCTAATTCAGAATCTTCTCAACAAAATAAACTAAAATTACTTCCTGTATTTATTTTATTAATAACTGATAGCAAAATATTCAAAATCAAGTAGATTTTATGAAATTACTTGCTATTTATTTTAAATTGTTTGAAATTAATAAATAAATGAATAAACCAAATATTTTAGAATAATAATTGTTACCTGCTGATTTAATTTAAAAATGATAGATTAATTATTTTAAATTAATTAGTTCAATATTTTTATTTTTTGCAATTTTTTTTTAAATATTAATTACTTGCTTTTGTTTATGTTTTAGTAAATAAATCATTAATCCTCATCCATTTATTTAAATCTTTTAAATCTCTAAAATTTACTAACTTTTTATTTATTTTTAAGTTAAATAGTTCATCAATTTGTCATAAAAATCTTTATTTTAAATAATTAATTACACACTGTTTTTATGTCAAAATTAGTTGATTATCTCTTCAATATATTTATTTAGTTATTTACTCACTATTTTCATATAAATTTATTTATCAAAAATTAATCGAATTTTTTAATCATTTTTATTACTAACTATTTTTATTTTTAAGTAATTAATTAATTAATTGAGCATCTTATAGTCTAATTAAAATATTTCAATCATATTTATTTATTACTGCCTTTTTTGATAAATTAATTAATTAATTGAGCATCTTAGAGTCTTAGTAAAATATTTCAATCATATTTATTTATTACGAACTTTTTTAAATATTTAAATTAATTAATTGAGCATCTTAGAGTCTAAGTAAATATTTCAATCATATTTATTTATTACGAACTTTTTTGAATATTAATTGAGCATCTTAATGTCTAAGTAAAATATTTCAATCATATTTATTTCTTACTAACTTTTTTGAATATTTAAATTAATTAATTAATTGAGCATCTTAGAGTCTAAGTTAAAGATTAGAATCGTATTTATTAATTACTCCCTTTTATTAAAAAATATTTGAGAATTTAAAATCTAAAATAAAAGGTAATAAATACTTGCTATTTTAATAAATAAAGGTAGTTGAGTATATCTGAATAGAAATTGCACTAAACTGTGTAAATTATTCAAAATTTACAGGCTATTTTGAATTTGAAAGTTATTAGTTATTCATTGAATCGAGTAGAAAATAAAAAATGTACTATCTATTTATTTATGTATTTAAAGATTAATATTAACACTTATGTTGAACAATTACCAAAAAGTAAAAATCTTACCCTCTATTATTGCATATGAAGAATAAGTATTAGATTATAAAAATAATCAGAAACGTTTGGAAAATACTTTCTGTATTGTATTATTTATTACAAAAAAGAGATCAATAATTTAATAGCCATAATCATAATTAAGTCAAATACCTCCTATTTCATAAATATTAGAAATCAAAATACTCTTCTAAGAAATATTATTTAAGCAATAAATATATTTTTTAAAGATATTATGACCTTATTAGTAAACCTTTATCTTAGAATTTTAGGCACTAATTTAAAGTAATTTAACGTTTAAAAAAATTTTAAACACTTTTCAATTATCAAAACAAGATTTTGAGTGCTGAATTAATTAATTAATGATTAAATATAATAACTATAAAGTATTCTTTAGAATTTCCTTTTTTAGTTACAAATAAGTAATGCTTGAATAGGAATAGCTAATTTATTGAAAAATAAATGCTATTTGTTTTATTTTGTTTTGATTTTAGCATCAGGTAAGCTATTTTATTTTTTAAATTAAACTTATTTAATTAAGATTTCTATTTTCAAGATGTAATAAAAATTGCCAGTTTTATTTTCAATCATAAAAATCAAGTAATTTTTTATTCTTCATACATAGAAGCTGATGAATATAAATAAATTACTAGGTTGGTTAATTGTTATCTAATTAATCAATCTTTATTTGCTCTTGATTTTGCTAATAATTCTGAACGTCTTATTTTTTTTCTGTATTTTGCTTCTAGATTTAATCTTGATGACCTAATTCTGGTTATTTCTAGAAAACCTATTAAGAATTTGCTTATTAATTTTAAATAAAAGGTTAAATATTCTATTTTTAATTTTCCTATTTATCCTATTGATTTAACAAATCATCAATTAGTTGTTACATTTCCTTTATTTTTTATTTTAACTCACTAATAACTGCCTCCTAATTTTCATTAAAAATTCAAGTAGAATAAACAAATATTTTAAATTAAGTAATAAAATAAACATGTTTTTCTTTTTATGCATCAATCTATGAATTGAGATATTAGAATAATTCCTTTTCATTTTTACTATAAAAATAATTATTTAATATAGTTAAAAAAGAATTAAAAAATTACATGATTGGGTAAAACTTATTCTCAAAACCTTGAACATATTCAATGTCTTATGTAAACTAGCTGATGTGTTACTGAGCTGCTGCATCATCAATAACTTCAATAAATTTGCTATCTAAGTTAAATTCAAAAGAAATAATTCCTTTTAATATTATTAAAACCTCCTTAACCTTTAACCTGTTTCTTGGAATGAAATTGGTCAATCCATCAATTATGTATCTAAGCTGTTTCTCATAATTGAAATTTTAGAAGTCTGCATTATATTGCAAAGGTTGGTGCTTGCTAAAAACCAAATTCGCTTAGAATCCTGAAATCATTGTGTATATCAAATAACCTATTAATTAAAGAAAAACATTTTAATGAGAGAAATTTATAAATCAATTAATGATTCATGTGTATATTTCAAAAAATTACCTAAAGAACATGCTTCGCTCTTAGAATTAACATAATACATTTTAAAAGTAATTATAAGGATTTATCAATAAATACTCTTTGACTTGGTTATTTCTTTACAGCTATTCCTAATTTAATGTATTCATTAGAGTAAATATCAAATTTTGAGGAATCATAACATTCTGGAGCTTGGCATATAATGTTTCCTTTCTTTAATTGAATTAATATAAATAAATAAGCATCATATTTCTTTTTTAAGAGATGTAAAAAGAACTTTACATATTCTTCAATAGCATATCCAGATTATTGAGGGAGGTTATCAGCTAATCCAAAGTCAGCTAATCAATTTATTAATTAATTTTATTTATTAGAATGAAATTAATCTAAGCTCAATAAAGATATACAAACAACTGCGTTTCCATTGTAATCAATTAGGATATTATCCATCTTCAGATCATTTACTAAGCATTTCTTAGAGTGGATAAAGTAAAGACCCTCTGCAATATCCTTTGCATATTTAATAGCTGATAACTCATTCAATCTTTCATTTTAGGTATTCTTAATAATTTCATTCAAAGTTCCTATTTTTTATCAAAATATTCCATTTAATTAATCATTCATTTTAGGTATTCTTAATAATTTCATTCAAAGTTCCTATTTTTTATATTCCATTTAATTAATACATTCATTCATAAATAGATGGATGAATGGATGGATGTCAGATAACATTTTGAAGGTAATAATTTATACCTAAACATTCAGTAAGAACTAGGAATATAAAATCATTTCCCTCTATCTAATGTAGAAGATTGACTACATAAGGAGAGCCCTTGCATTAATTGAGCATTTTAATTTCTTGCTAAACTTAACCTAAAATAACTTGATCAACATTGTCCTTTGAATCTTTAATATGAATTCCTTTGATAGCATACCTCTTGTTTGTTGATTTTTCCTTTGCTAATACGACTAATCCTTGAGCTCCTTACCCTAAAAATCTAAATTCATCATATCCTTTTTGAGATAATTCTCTCTTCATTTCTTAGTAAACAATATTCTAGATTTTACTCAATGTAGGTTCATTAATTTCTGAAACTTTTGGGGTTTTTAGAATAAATAATGATTAATGCTGCTTACACTTAAAGCTATTTTGATTTATGGCTTTACATTTATAGTAGGCCTTAAATTAAAAAAATGATACTCAGATAGTTTAATATCATAAAATAATTATGTAAATTAAAAAAATGCAATTTACAAAGCAATTCTTGTTTTGGAAGCATTTAAATACCCTTATCCACATACATCTATCTAATTTTCTACCTATTTTGGATATGCTAAAGTAGCTTCAACTTTACCATTTCATGTTGCTATTAATTTTAGCTCATTTAATCCATTAGATCTACCTTCTTTTTCTTAGCTTTATTTAATTAATTATTCTTTTACCTATTAATTTAATCAAATTAACAAATCATTAATTAAAAAGAAGTAAAGAATATAGTAGAGGCTAATTAATCCTACCATGGTCCTATATTAGAATTTTTTTTATTTATTTAAAAATACCTTATCCTTAATCATACCAAGATTAAACATGTTTTTCTAAAATATATTTATCAGTCTATCTATCTGAGAAAGTAAATATTTTTTTATTTAATACTAAATTAATGCTCTATATAATTAGGTAATAGATCATCTCATTTAATCCAATAAAATCTATTTCAAAATTTAAAATCCGAAAATCTAATGATATTTGGATAAACTAGAGTGAAATGCAATACCTTTTTAATTTACAAAAGGCGAAATGTAATATATTGCTAATCCAGTATTAAAATAAGATGAACTGGATAGCATTATATTTTAATACCTCGATTATGATCAGTGTCCTAATTAGTGGGGGTGTTTTTTGGCCGATAGTTTTTAAAATCATAGGCTTTAAAATTTAATAAAAATATAAAATAAAATAATTTTCATTTATCATCCCACATTTTCCCCTTAAGGCGAGGAGCCTAACTTAAAAGAGCCACTGTAATATTAGCATAGATTTATTTTAATTTATTAAATAAAAAATAATTTTTGTCAAAATAAAATGATTGATTCCATTCATATATAACTTGATTTCCATAATGAATTTAGAACAATAAAATTTTAAAAATTTTGAAGCAGATAATATTAAGAGTTAATAAAATAAATATGATATAATTAGATAAAAAATATAATAATATGTTTAAAAAGTATAATAAATAAATATATATATATATTTATATATTTACAAAGCAATTTTTTATTAAATTTAATTATTAAGGTATTTTTTTCAATTCTGAGGCATGATATTTGTGTATTCTTCTATTCCCATTTACTTTAGCTGCATTAAAGTGTTTCCTAATTTAGATAAAATAATAATCCAAATTAATTTAAAGCAAGAAGCTGAAAAGTTAAATTAAATTAAATTAAATTATATTTACTAGCTTTGTCTTTTTCTTAAAAGATACTGAAATCTCCATTTCTTTGAGTATACAATAGACTTCTGTTATTTTCGACTTTTTTTAAATAAAAAATTATAAGATATTAATTTCGAGCTAGCTATAATTTTGCTTGTGTATTAAATTCTTACAGTAATGGAAATAAATTGAAGTTATGTGCTCGCTGTTTGGTTAGAATTTTGAGAAAGCTGGAGTCATATTTTATATCTGCTTTGCTTTGATTTCAAATAAGTCTAAGTAATAGATTACTCCTTTATTGGTACTTAAATACTATCATAAACAAATTTATAACTAAGAGTGATTTCAATATTAATAATATTTACGATAAAACTGCTAAGACTTGATAAAAACTTCACGTCTGTGATTTTTTCTTCGTTTTAGTTGCTTATATAAGAAAAAGAGCACTCAGAGTACAAGTTTCCATTCATTCTATTTCCAAAATTAACAATTAGTTTTCATTCAGTTATAATATGAAATTTTACGTAAAAATAAATAATCTCTTTTGGTTTGTAACAATTAAAATAAAGCCACATTAGTGAATCTCCAAGAATTAAACACATTCACTGTCTTGTAAGTCAGGTAACTTAAAGGAATGTAAGAATCTCATTGTCTTTAGTTCATGAATTAATCCCAAACCTAAAGATTTAAAATACTATTAAAATATTTAATTAAACAAATCAAATTTTTACCATCCATGTCAATAGAAACAATAATTAGAAGAGTTTGATCTAATTTCACAGCTGATATTTCATTGTGATGGCCATATATCATTCTAAGATGTTTAATTTCTATGTCTTCCTTTCTAAGGAAGTTTTTTAATATGTTCTACTTTACACCAACAGAGTAAACAGACAATCTGCAATCTCTAGAGCCGCAAACAATAAACTCTTCACATACATCCATGCAAGTAACTAAATAAATAAATAATTAAAATATTAAATAACTCAGTATTTATTTTAAATATTTAATAAGCATTTTATTTATCAAAAAAATATTTGTTCAAACTAATTAAATATTTTTTACTTATCTTCTTGTGCAAAGAATTAATTTATGCTTCATATTTTTCGTCTTTGAAGTTCTTAACAATAATGTTTTTATCTCCATGAGCGACACTAAGAATGAAAGTTCTATACAATAACACTGAATTTCTAAATGATATCTCAGGTGACTGTTTGACAATAAAGATAAACATTTTAGTTTAGTTTGAGATGAGCATATAAAATGGTAAATTAATTTACTTTCTTAATTTCTATTTTGCCTCTTCTATATGTGAAATCTTTTTCAAGGATAGAAGTCTTGCATTTAAAGATATTAAAGTAGAATTTATTTAAGTCACGCTCCATGAGTCCAACATCTATTATATAAAAAGTAGTATTTAAGACATTATAGTAGAATTAATTTTATAATAAAAGCGATTTAATTCTTTTATTTTTGTAAATTTAATTCATTTTCAATTTTAATTTGTTGGTTAAAAAAGAATGAAAAACAAACAGCTTTCAGAAAAATATCAAAAAAATTCTATTTATTTTATTATTATTATTCGATGAATTAATTTTTTAGCTAAAATATTAAATTAATTGTAGAAAACATTAATTTTTTTATTTCAAAATAATATTTGCATTTTCTTAAGAAAATGTTCAGCTATTTAAAGTTTTATTTTTTATTTAAAATTAAAAATGCCTTTGTTTGTTGGTTCACTTATAATTTTTAGATAAATGAATCATTTAAAGACATTTTATTTAAATAAAAACTTGCTTAAATTACATCTGTTGTTTGCAGTGACATACTCTAAAGAACTTTCTTGACAAACTTTTTAGTATTTAGGAGTTATTTTGTTGTAGAATTCAAATTCTTTTATTTTTGGCATAGTAATAAGACCACTATCATCTCTTGGCTTTTAATCTTCATCAAAAAGGCGGAATGGGGTTTAACCAAAGTAAATAACTTTAGCTTTTTCAGCAAGAATTTGTGCCTCGTCTAAGCCTTTTATATTGAAATTCTCTGCATAGGATGAGGGATGGAATAAATTCTAATTTTATCATTTAAACAAAGAAATAAATTGATATTTTAATTTAATTAATAATTTACTTCATTATCAATTGCCTTTTATCCGATTTATTTACTACCAAATATTAAGTCTATCCATGAATGCAAGTTCTTAGAAACAAATGGAGATTCTAATGCTTATCTCATTCTAAAGACGAATTCCTAAATGTTTAAAATAATATTAAATTAATTTCTAGATAATTTTTTTGTTTTATAATTTAAATCTCTCTATCTAATTTAACTTTAAAATCCTATTTTTCATGAATATTTTCTCATATTTTTACTTGAGCAAAATACAAAAAAGTACAATAAATTATTTTCTTATAAATTCTTTTAGAAGTTTTTAAATGATTTAAATTATTGTTTTGTCATCTTTATACTCAATAGTTTATTCTGATATTGTTAAAATTATTTTATATTATCTTCATTTATATTTCTTAAAAATATTTATCTTTCTTTTTGAGTATTTTAAATTAAACTTTTTATCTTTTTTATATAAGAGCTTTGCAAATAAATAACTCTTTTGTTTTTTTTATTCCTCTAAGAAGAATAGTAAAATGATTTATTACTTCTGGAGTATCTGTTGATCTTTTTATCCATTCTGGCAATATAACTCTATCAACCTCTGTGTTGTCTTGCTTCTTTCCCAAAAACAGTTCGTTGCTTTATAATTAAATAAAAAAATTGATAGAAAATTTTGTAGTATGCTAAATAATCTTACACGTTATATAGGAAATCAGGTAGGTAATAAAACTCGGGTATAAGTTCTTTAACATCTGCTGAGTTTAGCTAACCAGATTCCCATTGATCATGAATTGAGTGGAAAAGCCTATCTGCATGATCAAACTTATTTTTGAAGAAAAATAATAATTAAATTTTGAAAATGAAATTAATTGTATATAATTTACTTTATTGGATTGCTAAGTAAAATGAAGACCAGCAAATGGCTCCATTCTCATAAGAAGTGTTAACACAATAGTTGCGTTAGAGTAATGAGTTCCATACTTTTTATATCGAAATAGTTGTTATGTTAATAAATAAAGAGCATAATTAATCTCAATGAATAATAAAGTAAAACCATGAAATATGTGTCTCTGTCTTTAGGAGATGAGTGTTGGAATCTCTCATAAAAATGATCTAAAAACCTATTTCTGTTGATAGCTCCTATTGGCTAGTTTAAAGGTCTGTAAAACGAATCTTCTTCAAGCTTAAGCTCGCTCTGATTAAAATTAATTTGATTTTTTAATAATTCTAAATAAAAAATATCTTTATTTACTGATTTGTAGTCTCTTATAATCCAAGGGAATACAGGATACTGACTTAAATCATTAAATGATCTACCACTATAGGTGTTAAGTTGCATCAGATAATCGAAATTAGTAATTCTTCCCTTTTTCCAGTCATCTTTGATTCCACTTTTTTAGAATTCTAGTTTTCTGTTAATAACTACATTACAGTTTTCATTCATCTATTTATCAAATTATTTGTTTATTTAAATAAATAAATACCAAAAGTAATTAAATTACTCTTTTGATTATACTGAGGAAATTTTCTTTGATCTATGGCTTATAAACATTAAAGAAGATCACTTTTTAGTCATCTGTGAATAGCTCAAATGCGATCTCTTAGAAAAGATATCTTCTTGAAATAGCTAGTTTAACATTTTTTACATTGATTACTTTAGTTTTTTATTCTTGAATAAGTTAATGATCTATGCATCCAAAAATATTAGGTTTGATTCTTTGGTCTTTGCTACTAAATATTATTGCTCCCTTTTGATCTTTTAAAAACTTCATTTAAGATAAGAACTAATTTTGAAAATGCTTACTAATGCTCAAGATTCCATAAACTACTCCAGTTTAAGTCACCTACTCAGCTTCGCAAATTAAATCAATCATATTATTTTCAACTATCTTTTAACTATTATTAAACGAGCTGCTTCTGATTTTCTTTTATATTTATCAAATATTAAACTAAATTCAACTAAAAAATTTAGAATTTTATCAAATTATTATAGAAAATATTTCTATTTTTAGAATTGAAATTATTAAATTTAATATTTTATTAAGTTAAATATTCGCTCCCAAATACTAATTTATTTATTTATTCGCTTTTAGTTTAATTATCCTATCAAAAGTTATTTAAAAATTTCTAAAAATTTTTTTAATAAAATTATATTTTTATTTGATAAAATTTGAAATCAAATTAATTAAAAGTAAAATATAATAACTATTTCAAATTATTATCAGTTTATTAATTATTTTGTAGAGTAAGTTGAGATGATGAGTATTTAGGATATATTGAAAAGATTGTTGTCATACATAATACAATCCATGATAATTAAATTAGAGTTATTATATCTATTTAGAATGTTTTATAAAGTCAAATCACTTAATTGAAAATAGCCAAATAAATAGATTTAATAAGGAAAATTAATTAAAATTTTAAGTAAAAATCAGGAAATAATTAATTAATTAATTACGCTTGATGCACTTTAAACATTGTTTTTGAAATCAAATTGTTCAATAATAACTTCTTCATTCTTTTATGGACTCATTGGTTACTAGGAAGAGTCTTTTTCTAATTACTTTGAGCTCTAGTTTCTTTTAATTGATGCAGGATCTTCTATTAAAGTAGATTGAACTTATCTTATAGTTGGTTGTTTATCTTCAATTAATGACTAATCCTACATATAAAACATAAATAATTTAATAATTTTTTAATTAAAAGCTTTTTACCTTTTATATTGCTAAATTTTGATTCAGGTCTTGAGTATCAGTTTCATTCTCAAATGAACCAAGTAAATTAAATTGTTTTTTACTAGAATCATTTTCTTCTTGCTGCTACTTGCTTGGTAAAATTTATTGCTTTTAATACTTTGGATCTGTGAAAAACTTTTTGTCCAGCCATTTTTTATCTCTTTTAAGGAAAAACTTTCTCCTAAGTCTATCCTCCACCTTTTTAAATAGCAAAATTAGTATAAAATATTCAATTTAGCAAACAAATAAATAGATAAAAAAATCAATCAATAAACAAATGAACAAAGTCTAAGATACTTTATTAATTTTCCATTTTATTTTTTCGCTAGAGTTCTCCTCAAACCAAAGACCTCTTTCACTAACGAGTCTTTTTTCTTTTTTTAAATTAAATTAAATTAATTTATATTTTAGTTTCTAAAACAATAAATAAATACTTAAATCTACATAAGCAAATAAATAAATAAATAATAAATTACTTTTTGATTTCCAAACTTTTGCAGTCTCAATTAGTTACTCATTTTCTAATTAGTAGTACTTCTAGAACGAATCTTCACAAAGCTACTTATATGTGTCAATGATTTATTGTTGCTTTAACTTTGTAGAAGCTGATTATGAATGGATGCTATAAAAGATATTAATTTTTTCCCTCTTTGCTTCCTAAAATACTTGCTCTCTGAGCTTATAAAAGATTCCATTTATGTGTCTTACATACTAAACTTAAACTCCTATGTAATTATCAATAATAGGAATGATTTAGTCCAAAAATAAATTCTTATGACTTTCTAGAATATCCTTTAACTTTTCATGGTTTCTATTAGGAAAATTTCTTAGCTATTTAATTTTTAAAATTTAAAAGAATTATTCAATAAATTAGTAACATATTTAATTAAATTAAATATTAAATTTATTTTGAATAAATTGCTTCATTTTCTAATAATTATTTTAATTTTATATTTTCTGTAATTTATTTAAGCGTTTGAATTAAATAGTGAATGATAAATATGAATCAGATAATATTAAAAATTTTTGAAATTTTTAATTAATCTATTTAGAATAAATCAGATAAAACTTTATTAATTAATTTTAAATTATTGAGGGTATTTATTTGATAAATTTATATTTATTTCCATATTTAAAGAAAAAAAAATATTAAAAGTTTGTAAGTTAAAAAATGTTTAAATAATTATTCCTTCGTTGGTATAAAAAAAATAGAATATTATTTATTTATTTGTTTGTTAAAAAAAATATAAATTACTTCTTTAACTTCTACAAAGAAGTCTTGGATTTCTTCAATCAAATTATTATTGTCAATTTTAACTTCAATTTTATTGTTAAAAATGTCCAAAAATTATTAGAGATTTTCATAAGGACTTATTTAAAGATTATATTAATAATTTCCTATTTGCATGGTGTCAAAGCTGGACCAAGATCTTTGCATTTTGTCATAGTAAGAATTGTAAATAAGCTTATATAGAGAATCTTTTAAAGTCTTATTAGTTGTTACAAAGTATTCTTATAATGCGAAAGTAAGTATATAGTCTTTGAAATATTCAGTAAAAATGTTTCTATCAAATTCATTTCTATATTCTATCAAATTAATAGTTTCACTTTCAGTAAATAGTTTTTATTCTTTTTGTTAGGAATTTCCTACATCTCTCATCAGGAAAATATTTAAATCTTACAAATATCTGTTTGTTTATTTATTTAATTAATTATTATTAAAGAAACATAAATATTAATTGAATTATTGCTGATAGAAATTATTTTAAAAATAAATAAATTTTATTTATAATTATTATTAAATTTATTTTTATAAATTTTGATTACCCATTCTTCACTCCAATGTCAGTGCTGTTTCTGTAACTAACAAATATAGTGTCAATAACTGATCTTAAAACACCTCCGTTCGTTAAAACTAATTTGTGCATGACAATTTTCTCTAAATAATTGAAAGTGGCATTTAAGTCAATTTAGCCTTCAAGTTCCTTTTTGATTTAAGGACTAGAATTTTCCAAGCAAAGAATGTTGTTTCCGAAGAATTCTATTTTTTTAAAATTGCTTAATATCTTGATGGTGAATTGATTATTGATTTACCTATATATGAGTGGATTACTTTCTAGTAAATCGCTTCTTAATTTGAAATCAAGTTGGGGTAGAAGTAAACAATATTTTCAACATAAAAAAACAACTCTATTAAATTATATTTCTAAGTAGCGAGCAATATTTAAGAGGAATCTTTGCTATTCACTTAAGTAAGTTGTAGCTATAAAATATGAATGAATTTCTCAAAGTATTCGTGAATAGAGCTCTAAATTAGCTGCTAAATCTAATTTGTTTATTTATTTTAAAGTAAATTATTTTTTAATTTTAAAGAGAAAGAAAAAAGAAATTGTTTTTACTAATTTAGCTCCATCTATCTCTCCCCATATCAAAAAGTTAATAATGTAATCAAGAATTTCTTAGCTAGAGTCTTGAACTATTTTTAGGCTTTCTTCATCCTCGAAATTTATGTAAAGAATGTTTTCTACAATTTGAATGAACTAAGGGTTAATAACTAGTTTGTGTAAAAACTATTTGAAATCCTCATCAATTTAATCTTTATTCTTTAATTAAAAAAATTAATGATATTAATTGTTAATTAAATCTTATGAAGACTAAGAAAATTTAATAATAATTTTTCAGTTTAAATAAGAATTTTTTAATATTTATTTGAAGTTCATTAATATTTAATTGTCTTTATTTACCAATGCGTTAATATGTCTGTTGTAAAGAATTCCTAGCACCTTTTTAATGTCTTTTATGACCATGATTTGCTAGGTTCCCTCTAAATGAGGCACTCTAGTAAATAAGATTTCCATTATGGTTTTTTCGATTCTCCATTTTTCGATGAGAGATTTGTTCAAGTACTCTATGAGAATGGTTATTGTTTCTTTGTGAAGATATTATGGAAGAATACTGTCAAGGTTTTATATTTATTTTTAAATTATTTAAATGCTACTAGAGTCAAACTTTTTAACACTCTTTAGATAATATTCTAACAAGAGCTAAACAGATATTGAAATAAGCTCATCAAAGTGATTAACTTGTTAACTAAAATCACTATCGTAGAAGTATTCTCTGTTTTGTTAACTTCCTTGTTTCATAGTACAAGTATGAATTAATATTGCCACTACTATTTGCTCTAAGCTTTCTATTTCCTTATTTTAGATTATTGAAATAACTTCTACAGGAGTTTTAGCGTTGAATATCTTTTGCAATATTCTCACTAAATCTAATTGCAACTAGCCTGGCTCTGCATAGCATATGTTTTTTAATAAGAGTTCAATCAATGATTTGTAATCTTATCTTTTTAATTGTACTTCATTTTTTATAAATGCAGAAGTATAAATGTTATTTATTATCTTAAGCAAGTATCCCTTTAGGTCTCTTAGTTCTTTGCAGTCATTTTCGTTATTTTCAGTCCTGATTTGCTTTTCATTAAAATTATTTTATAATACTTCAAATAAAGGAACCAAACTCTCGTTTTAAACTATCCTGAAAACTGTGTCAAATGTCTCATTATCCATTTCCAAAAAGCTGAGAATAAAGACATAAACACTTCTCTAAATTTTAAAACTGCATTAACCCCAAATTTGATAGCAGAAAAATATCTCTTATAGAGCCACTTGTCTTGCATACCATGTCATATCTGCTTGATCATCAAAAAAATCAGTTGAATTACATTCTTAATAAGGGAATCCAATTTCAATAAACTGCTTGAAACTCTCCAAAAATTGTATACTGCACCCCTTTTATTTAAAATGATTTTATTACTCAGTAAATTTCAATTCTTTAAAAATAAAAATTTTAATATTTTTTATATTTGAAAATAGCAATTTTCTACTTTGTTTTCTTTGACTATCGCCTTTATGAGCATCTTAAGTGTGTGCATTCCTTTGGAATTTTAATCAAAGTACATAATAATTTCTTAATCCTGCTAAATCATAACACTCATAAGTTAAAAGACTGCTGATGCTATGGTCATTTTTTATTCAGAATTGAGTTCTTTGTTGCCAATAATTAAATCTAGAATATAACTACAAAAAAAATGCATTTAAATTGAAATTGAAATAAAATTACATAAAAATTTCTATATTTCCTATTGATAGCAGAGCTTCTAAAAAGTGAGAGAATTCTAAGAATCTAATTCCTCTTGACACGATCTTGTAATGAGGAAACTCTGTTTTTACTGAAATATCATCTGATTTGAACATATTTAAAAATGACTATTTGATGAGTTTTCTTTTTTATTTCAGAAAAGTCAAACATATTGGAGCCTCTAACATGATGTTTTCATCTCTATTATCACCATACTAAATATGATATTTGCATTACCTGTCGCAATTTTATTTAGAGTTCTATCTATCTAAAGAGGAATATAAATTTTAATCCCCTTCGTTTTGCTTCGAAAGAGTATTTTTCTCAGTATTTAACTTTAAAATAATCTATTTTATATATTGATAAAATTAAAATCACATTTCAAAAGAGATAAAAATTAAATTTAATTAAGTAATTCATTTAAGGTATTTCATCAATTGTTAATAAAAAGGTTATCTGAGTTAATTTTTTAATAAATTTGTTAACCTTTTCTCTTAGATTGGTGTTGTAATACATTTCAGTGAGGTATTCTTATAGTTTTATTTTAGTCCTTTCAATTTGTATTGACTCATTAAAGATGTATAATTAATTAATAAATCCATTGAAAAAGGAACCTTCTATAACAAAATTATCGCAATTTTTAGCAGGAGATATTTCAGCGCCAATTGAAAATTGTTTAAGAACTTTAAAATTATCAACATACTTTCCATATCTTCTATTCTGATTTGAAATAGGCTATAAAATTAAAAAATTTTAGTTAATAGTTTATGAGACAAGCTGAATTTACTTATTTAACTATGCCATTGAATGCTACAGTGAATCCTTCTGAACCATTTTTTTCACTATAGTTTATTTGTAATATATGCCACTTAGAACACTCAGAAAAGTTTCCATAATCAAAATCAATATCTATACTAATTGAATCTTGAATAAAGCAAATTCTTAATATAGCTTTCTTATTTGACTATATATAATCAATTTAATAAAAATAAATAAATAAATAAATAAATAAAATGATAAAAAAATTATCCTAAATTTTTTAAATACTCCAAAAAAAAAATAGTTGAGTTAATTTAGCAATTTTTTTTTTCAATCAAAAATTTTCTTAAAAATTAAAAAAACAACAACCATTTTTTAAATAATTTTATTATGGTTTATTTATTGAATTGTAAATTTTACTCAAATTTTTTCTATAAAGCTATTTAAAAATAAAATAAAAAGTATTCCAAGCTTTTTGTAAGTGAATTATTGATATAAATTATTAAATATCTTATTTACCTATCCAGGAATAATATATACAACTAGTTTTTTGTCATCTTTAGAAACAAAGCAGAAGAGACACTACTTTGGTTAAGGATCAAAATTATCTGATGATTTATTTTTTTTTAAAGAATCTGCAGTGGAAGGGAGTGAAGAGTCTTAGGAAGTATTTGCTTTGTATAAAATATTTTATACATCTTTAATCATTATTGATGAGTCATAAAAATTAGCAACGCTTTCTAGCTTTAAACAAGCAAGTACACTAAAACCTTTTGAGCAATTATCAACAAAAGGTATTTTTTCATCGAGCATGAGTATAGAATCTCTTCCTTTAAAGTAATAATAAGGAGTTATATGGCTAGGTGAATTTTATTCATTAATAATATCTTCGAGTAACCTGATCGATTCGTGCAACATACAAAAGTATTTATCTTGCTAAGAGTTCAGAATTTGCTGTGTTATGCTTTTAACATGATGGGCACTAACACCTTCCTATTAATATTTATTTTTAATTTACCTTAAAGTGCATTTTTTAAAAAATTTACTTACAGATAAAATTACTTAAGCAAGATTCAAGAATAATTTTCTATTCTCTTGGTTTTATTCTTTAGCTAAGCAACTAACAATATTCTAGAAAACTTTTGGCTATATTAAAAAAAATTAATAAGACAAATTAATGTATTACAATTATTTAAAAATTATATTTTTCAAGCTTTAATTTATCTTATTTCTATCAATTATTTTATTAAGATTTTATTTCTATTTGCTTTTCATTTTTTTATATCTTACCATTCGAAAGCCAATTCATAACAAATCAGTTTATTTTTTTTGAATTTTGAATTTAAATGCGTTGCCATTAGCAAGCTAGTACTGAAAAATTTATTTTAGATTTGTAAAATTTTTATTTAAATCAATAAAATTATTCTAATTAATATTTGAAAATAAAATAATATTTTGTGGTAAGATATTAATTAATACATCATACTTATAAGTTAATTATTATCATTTGATTATTTTTTGTTCAACTTAACTATTTTTATCTATTAAATTATTTCAAATTTTGCTTTATTAATACTTAAAAATTAAATGGAATCATTTAATTCTATTCTTTCTATCAATAACCATTTTAAAAGCATAATATTTAATAATAATAAAAAATTTACTTTAGATAGAAAAATAGTGTTTTCAAATGAGTTTTTAGCTAGTGCATACACAACGTTCAAGAAATACTTCTTAATTTAGTTATCTTACACTTTTTCGAGATATTTTATATAAACATCAAGGAAGTTAGACTCGTTTATCTTGATTTAATTTAAATTTTAAAATATTTAATTAATTATTTGAGATGATAAATAAAGTTACTTGGATGAATGACATTTTATCAAAATAAACTTCATCAAATGTCTTATTAATTAGCTGATAATCATCATCAATTAAAAGATTTTGTCCTAGAACTTACTTTTAAAATAGCTTTTCGTAAATAGGGAAGTATTCACCTCTATTTTTTAAATTAAATAAGTAAAACGTAGTAAAAAAATGCTAATTTACCTGGTTGAAAAAATAAGAATTTAGTTTAAGTGAAATGGAGTAACGACAGGCATTAATTTTAAAAACATTTTTTTGAAAGCTCCTGAGTACAAAGCAAAAGATTCTCCTTTATTCTAAAGAGACTATGTAAGGCATAAAATTTCTTTTAAAAGTAAGGGATCGTTATTTACTGTTGCGATAACGCATAGTTTCTCATAAATATTTTAAATGAATAAATCAAATTAAACTAGGTCTTTATCAAAAACCATTGTAAATTGCAAAGGAGAGTCATACTGATAAAATTAAACTAATTTATACTACTTTTATGCATTATAAATTTGTATCTGAGATATCTTTTAGTACATGTTTGTAATCATATTACACAAAAAGGAGTATTTCACCATCTCAAATTGATTCTCATAATTATCTTGCTTCTTGTTGAGCAACTTTATTATGACATTTTAAATAGTCATCCTGCATTCTTTTCTTTCTCTAAAAGTCATTACCATTATTCCTACAATCATAAAAAACAACCTCTTCTTTGAATCGCTAAAACTTTCAGTCAAAATTAAATGAGCAATCTTTGATTTAAAAAAATGTTTTAAAATAAAAAACTTTAGTTTTAATAAACTTAAAACACTAAATTATTTTTAAAAATATATTTATCATTGTAAATACTCGTTTCTTCTTCCCTTGTTTAGGAAAAAGATTTAACGAACCTTGAAATTGATTTTATAAAATTATGAAAAAAATTTAAAAAATAGTGATTAAAAGTAGTGGAAACTAGATTATATAATTTTACTTTTTCGTAAGAAAAAATAGAAGCAGACTTATTAAAGATTGTTTATTCATAAGATTTGATAATTATGAGTTCATTCTCTTTGTTTAGATATTCATAAACTTTAGTGTAGAAATAAAATAGGCGAAGTAAAAAAGTTAAATCACTTGAATTAGCGTTAATTCTCTCTGATTTATCTTTTATAATAATAGCATATTCATTTATTTCTTCTAGTTTCCAAACTTAATTTGATGGATTCAAAATAAAAGTATCATCATTTTCTGCTATCGCACACATTAAACTAATGCTTAAATTGGTATTTATATTAATAAATTAGGACTTAAGCTTATTAAATATATTAATAGTTTCATTGAATAGAAAATCGTCTTTTTATTTGGCTATTCTCAAAAAAGAAATCACTTATTTAAGCATATCTTCTTATTTTTATTGAGGTAAAATAACCATAACTTCTGTTAAGATAGAGGTTACTTCCTAAATTAATTATTCATTAAGATCTTTCGAATATCCTGGATTTCCTTCTTTGTTGATTCCTTTCTTTAATTAATTATAAATTTTATTAGCATATAAAAGTCTAGTTTAATTATAATAAAAATACTTGAAAGAAAGCCAAAAGTATAACAATAGTTTGCTCAATCCTATCAACTTTTCTATACACTTGATAAAACTTAGCCAATTCCTATTTATTTTTTATAAAAAATAATTTAGTCATTAAAAATAATGATAAATTTCGAGTATTTAAAATAGTTTATTGAATTAATATATCCTTTAAACTTCTTTAATATTATAAATCTATTTTAAAATTAATATTCTATTTAAAAGATTAAAAATGATGAATTTCTATTTAAACCATTTAATCATTTGCTAAAGTTTAATTAAATTCAAAAATAAATTTTTACAAATTTCTAATTAATCTAAACATTTTATTTTATATCATATTTATATTATTATTTTTTGGAGATATTTCATGTTTATTTTGATATGAAGTTTATTTATAATGTTATCAACCTTTAATCTTTTTACAAACCATTTCTTAGGATATGTTTAGCTTTTTTAGATTTCTGAAGATAAAATATCTATAATAACTTAATTAATTTTAGTATCTATTTTAAATATTTTTCAATTTAATTTTTATTATATTTAAATTTATTAAGACCTGTATTTTTATTACTTGTATATCTTACAATTTAATCACTTTTAATAACTTTTATAAATAAATAAATGGCTTTATTTGAATCTAAAACTTTTATTTCTTAAATTTCATTTTTTTTATTTGTTAATTGAAGAAATAAACTTCTTAAAATTATATTATTTTTGTTCAAAATGATATTTATTTCAATGAATTAAATCTATTTTATTGTCAATTATTTATAATTAGAATTTGAATAAATGAAGACTTTTAATACTATTTTAAACTGATTAATTAACTAGCTATTATATTTGAATTTGCTATTTTTAAATATTTATTAAGTATTAGACTTATTTAAAAAGTAAAAAAGATAAAATGAATTTACAAGTGAGAGGAATAAAGCATTTATTGGAGCATTGTATAGAATATCTAAGGCGTAATAGAAGGACTCTTCAAACTTAATCAAAAATGAGTTGCAAATTTAACAGAAATTTTCATAAAAAAGTAAGTAAAGCTTATTGATTTAAGTAAATAGCTGTTCATTAAATGGAGAATAAAGCAACACAAAATTAAGATAGTAATAAAGCTTTTGTGCTGATATTTTGTCCACACTTTCCATTAATTCGAATTACTTTAAAAGTTCAATATGAGCTTTTGTAATTAGATTAGAAATATTCTCTTCTATTTCTACTGCTAAATCATTTTGCAAAAAAAATTCGTGATCCTCATTTTTTTATTTTTCTTAATTTTGCTCTTCTACTATTTAATTTCCTATAATTGAATTTTGCTATTAAGAATTTTGTTTTTTATTTTCAGAGATTTCATCATCACTTTCTAATAAATCTACTTGCTGCTATTATGGATTTTTGAGAGTGTATAAATTAATTTTAACAACTATTTCAAGCGCTAAAATAACTATATCCAAAGCTTCTTGCTTCTTTTTAACAAAAGGAGCCTTTTAAAGGGCATGAATAATTATGTTAATTAGTATCTTAGAGCTCTTTTAATCTTTACTATTTAGGTACTCATCTAATTTATCTGCAATCAAAAGCAGAAGAGTTAGTAGAAAATCGTACTTATCGTTTTCTTATGTGATTGCATTTACTATAGGGAAATATTTACTTTCAAGTTCTATAGACCTATCACTAACAAATATTTTGATAAGGTCATATCTGATATTGGATTTCCTTTCTTGATGAAGTTCAGATTACTGAAAGGTCTAAATACGTTTCTCCTATGTATGTATTTCTTTAATCTTAGTTTTTACCCAATCCTCTCTTATCCTTAATATATTTTTAGACATTCCAATATTTTTATTTTATTTTGCTTCTTTCTTACTGCTTAACTAAAATAATTTCCTTCCTTATAATAGATATTTCTATGTCTTAATAAAAACTCCCTTTTTCTACTTTCAATAAATACTTTGCTAACTTTTTACTGAATGAAGGTATTACTTTCTTTAATGAACAAACAAAGAAACAATAAATTGATTAATTAATTAATTAATTAAAAAAGAGTGATTTCTTTTTATTTAATTTTTTTTAATATATTTGATTGATTGATTGATTATTTTCTGATTTTTAACAAATTAAAATAAGGATAAAAACACTACATTCATTACAATTATAAAATAATATCTATCCATTTATTAAAATATAATCAAATAGTTAGTTATCATCTATTTTAATAATACTAAATAAATAAATAAATAAGCAATATATTTATTAATATTGTAAATAAAGATTATGACTATTACCTATTCATTCATAAGTAATCATAGGAAGATATATTGCTAATATTTTTCTTAATTATTCTTAAATTGTTTTCATTATTATTTGATTCCTGAGCAAATTTTTAAATTTAAGATTCCTGATCTATTTAATTGATGCCTTATCATATTAAATCGGATTAAATTAAAATATGTGTTAAAAGTAATATTTAAATTTTATTATAATTGTTTCTTTAATTAGTATCAAACTAATTATTTTATAAGTTTTATTTTATTTACTATTATAATTACACTAAACGAATTAATCCTATTATTAATAAATTTATTTAGCTAAATAAAATAATATAATTATTTAATTATATTCTTATTTTTAAAGGAGTTAAAAATTTGTTTTTGTCAAAAAATTTTAGTTTTTATTAAAATTATTTTTCTTCGTCAAAAAAATATCTTGTAGATTTTGAGGAAAAAACCCCCCATTTTTTTATCACTGTATATAAATCATCATAATATGAGTAATGAACCTAATCATTTATTAATGTAAATTTCTATATTAAGCTTAAGCTTTGAGTACTTGCTTATTATAAAATTTTCTTTAACAAATTCATATAAATTTTGCCAAATATTTTTTCTACAAAAATTTAAAGATTATAAAAATTGTTTTCTTTTTTTTAAATAATTTGTTGGAATAAATTAATATACAAATAATGGATAATTAAATGAAAAAATTGTTTATGTTAGAGATGAACAAAATAAAGTAAGATTTTTGAGCTAGCTTATATTTTTATAAAGGAAAATAGAGCACAAAAGTCAAAAATAATGTATTATATATATATATTTTTTGCATAAATTATAATAATATTGCTGCATTTTAACAGTAATTCATTCATCATTTTACTTACTTATTTTTTAATTACTTACCTACTTAATAATTAATTAATTAATTATAATGTTTATATCTATCTTGATTTTTGTTTTTATTTTTATCTAATTAATTTTTGTTGGTTGATTTGGTTCATTTGTATTGCAAATAAGGTTGATTATCCAATGTACTTGCATTTCCACCTTTACTGCGGTCAAAATCAAATTTATCCTATCTTGATTTAAAGCCTTGATCATACCCACCCATTTTATTGATTCTCTAGTTATTTTGTTAAAAATAATTTAAAATTTAGCCAAATAAACAGGTTTAATAAGAATAAAAAAACTTACTTCTTCCATTTATTTTTGCATCATCTCATCTCTTTCGTCCTTTAATTGTTAGATTTCCTTTTTAGAAAGAGCTAATTTTTCTTAGAATTCTCTGACTTCTTGCTTTTAGTCTTAGACTTACATTTTCAAGTGGTCATTTTCTTCTTTAAGTAAAGTATTATTCTATTTTTTGATAATTATTTCAAATACTTTTTATGACATTTATAAGCAATTAATTAAATTTACCTTTTCTAATTATGAAATACTGATTTCAAATTCTCTGATTTGATTTAACATCTGCTTGTATTCTTTTTCTCCTCCTGAGAAACTTGCCTTCGAATTCTACAGTTAATAGAATTAATAATTAATAACTCTTTGAATATGCTCAAATAGATAATATTTATTAAATTACCTTTAATTCTAGTAAATTATTATGAAGATCTCTGTTTTCATTTTTAAGTTAAATCAACTCTTAAGCTTGCCTGTCGAGTAAGTTTCTGGATTCTTTTAAGTCTTATAATTTTTTCTATTATAATATAACAAAAGTTATTGTATAAAAAATTATCTTTTAATTTAAATATAATTTATTTAAGCAAAGTTAAAACCTTGAAATCATTAACATCTGAGTTTCTTCTTTCAAGTTCGTTGTTTAATTGCTAAATAATTCTGTCCTTTTCGACTATTTTTGTTTTTAAATCAGTAATTTCCTCATCTTTGCTATCCATTTCTTCTCTGTTTTTAATCTTTTATCTTTATTCATTATTAAAAATTACTTAATATAAAAGCTTATTTTTTTAAAAAAAGATCACTTTTCAATAAGGCCTTCGTATTTAATATGCTTGTCTTATAACTCCTAACGAGAAGATTCTAGTAAAGAATTGTATTATCTTTCTAACTATTCGCATTTTATCTGGTTCTTTTAAGATTCACTTTGAATAATTTCAAATTGCTCTCTCATTTATCTTTCTCTTTGCAAAGCACTTTCAGCTCTCTACTTTTCTACTTGAATTTAGTTCTAATTTTCATACAATCAAAATTAAAAATTAATTTATCAAAGCAAACAAACTCACCTTGAACTCATTTACAGCTTGGCTTAACTCATCCAAATCATATCCTTTAGTTTCAACATCCTATTTTCATTTAAATTATTAAACACAATTTAAAGATTCTTTTTTTACCTTTCTAAAGCTTAGGACTTATTGTTTAAGTTCTTCAATTTATCTATCTTTGAAAAGCAATTATTATTTAAACTCCTTCTTTTCGTTCATAAGCATGTTGTTTTCTTAAAGGAGTTGATCGTTTTCATCTCCTCTCTTTCTGCTTAAGTCTTCATAGTGACTTTAATTTATTAAAAGTATATAATTAATCATTTAAACTTTAAAAGCCAATTACCTTTTGTAATGCAAATATTCACTCTTTAAGGTCTAATTATCGTTTTTGGCATGATTCAATTTATTTTGGAGTTCTTCAACTTGCTCTTCCAATTCTGCAACCTTCTAAGAGTACTTGGTAAATTTAGGTTCAATTTAAGCTAGCTACTTAGTAAGAGATTCTTCTCTTTTCAAAGCCTCTTCGAGATCGTCTTTAGTTTTTTCAATAACTTCTCTAGCTCTGTTGATTTCTTAGTCATTTTCATAAACAAAGTTATCATATTCTTCTCTAAATCTCTAAAAATTAAAATAAGAAATAAATAAATAAACAAGTATATAAATGAATTAATAAATAAATAAATAAATAAATAAATAAATAAATAAACAAGTATATAAATGAATTAATAATTTTTCAATAAATTAACTAAATTAATAAAACAAACTGACCTTCATTTCATCTAAATGCTTAATGAGAATATTATTTTCTTCTGTCAAAATATGAATTTTATGTTTAAGATCATTAATCTCTTCACCATCATTTAAACCTATTGTTTCTATTAACTTTGTAATATCCCTATTCTTCTAATTAATGTGTTCCCTAATGTACTAAAAAATAGTAATTAACTTTGTCTACATTCTAAATAAAAGCTTACTTTATTTTCTTCTAAAAGCAATTCAACCATTCCAATAAATCTCTTCAAGTCTCCAGACAAGTGACTGACCTAATTAGCAAATAAAAAATAAAAATATATTGTCGTCTATTCGCCATTAATTTTTGAATTCAAAATTGATAACTAAACTTCAAATCTAATTCTAATAAATTGATAAAAAAACAATCCTTTTCTAAAATATAAATGGACTATATAGAAGTAAGTTGTTAAAATTTATTTTTGTAAGTTTATTTTTTAAAAAATTTTTTATTTAAATTGCATTTTAATTGATAAAATTTATAGACTCCAACGTTAAAATAACAAAAGTAGTGATGAAGTTATCTTTTATTTAATAACTACTTTTTTATTTTCAAATTATATTTTTTGGTGTTTCGCAATCAATCTAACAGATTATTTATATTCTTTATATTTAAAGGAGATCAACAAATAAATATTTGATTTTCATTATAAAAATAAATAGAATTTTTATGATTTGCCATATTTGATTGTTTTTTTATCTGAATTTGCTTGATATTCATTCATTTTTCACTCATTTGTGAATTTAATTTTAAATATTTAATTTCACTTTTTTGAAGCAATATTTTTTATTTGAATTTTATTACCTCTTCTTTCAAGATCTTGTTTTCGTCTTCTAATGCCTTAAGGAGGGGAGAAAGTCTATCGGAGGAAATCAATAGTTCTTCGAATTGGTTACCAGAAACTGGCTTGATGATAAGATCTTTTTGGTAGACTGAAAAACCCTTTCCAGTTAACAAGTCTTCGAATTATTTTTAAAGTCTATCATCTTTTTTAAAATAAAAACAATATTTAATCAAGAAAACATTAATTTTAATGATTTCTGAAAAAACGTCAGAAGCAATAAATAACTAATAGGATTAATTATGTCCTTAAATATTGCTTTGAACCTATAAGCTAATCAAAAATAATTTTACTGTAAAGCTTGTAGTATTCATTCTACCAAGCGAGATCACCACCCAAATGATCTCCTTCATATTATTCAGGATGTTTGAAATGACTTCTGACCTATTCTAGTATTTTATTATTCTGCTAAAACATATTAACTCTATCTTAATATGATTGGTATTAGTTTTCTTAAAGCCTGTTGAGTTGCTACTAGGCTTCAAATTTGTCATCCATAATCACATAGGAATGTAGCTATTTATATTTTAAAAAGTATCACATTTATAACAATTCTTTGAATATTTTAAAAAATTGTTTTGTTTTTTTTGAACTAATATGGCTTTAGAAGTTATTCAAACAAAGAAAATTCATTTTATTACTTTGCTTCTTTATGGTGGAATATTCATTTTTATTTTAGTTAATTTATAGTTTAAAATGCTTAGCTTAGTTTTTAACTTTTAAATTGCTTTATTGCTTCTTTATCAAGCTATTTAAGTGAGTTATTTAATTTTGCTGGATAATATCTTTTTCAAATTAATTATTTATTATGTAAATGCTTTATTTCAAATTTATTGTTTGATTTTTATTATGATTCAGTCATTTTTTCATTCATTCATTCATTAATTCATCAATCAATAAATCAATCATTTATTTATTTTTAATTTAAAAAGTATTTATTTGTATATGGACTTCCTATCTATCTATCTTCTTATTCAAAATTCAATTTTTGTAATAAAATTCATTGGTAAACAAACAAAGAAATAAATAAACATATTTATTTTCTTTGATATTTAATCTATAATTAAATCTAAGACTCTTTTTTTTTTAATTAAATTTATTAACAAACATGATCAAATAAAGCTAATATTTTTCAAATATTGAAAATTGAACAAATAAACAATTACTTTGCATCAGCAGTTCTAAAAATATTTAACTACTTTATTAGCATTTGTTCATTCTATCAAATATATTGGGAAAACAAACTTAATAAATTACTCTATTATTTTTTTCTTATCATAATATTTTAGTAAAATTAATAAAAACATAATAAAATATTTTAAATTTGTTTTTTGTAAATTATTTAATTAATTAAATCTTTTTTCAAATCACAATTTATAAAATTATATAGCGATATATAGCGATCGAGAGTCAAATAGAAACAACATTTTTTTATGATATTTTGTAACACAATTTATGTTTATGCAAAACTTTAATTTCTTAAATATTTTATAAAATTTAATAATTTATTCTTTCTATGAAGTGTTAAATAAAACATTTTTTTTATCCATAGTATAAAGAGATGAAATAAGATCTATGAAAGTTGTTAAATAAGTAAATAATTATTCGAAATAGTTTAAATTTATTCTTCTCAAAAACAGAAATAATAAAAAATGATATGGTTGAAAATTTAGAATATAGTTAAGCTTCTTAAAAACTTAACCATTTTTTTTTATTTAAAAGAATTTAATAATAAAAGTTGCTTTGATATATCTTATGTTGAAATTTGTAAATTAATTAGTATCATGTCTATTTCTTTTAAATGCATCATAACTTGTTTAATCATTTATATTTGATTAACAAATTTTCTGCTAAAAAATCAAATTTAAAATACAAAATACTTTTGTGAAGCTTTAATAAAAGTAATTGAAAATAAAAGTTATTTTTTTTAATCTTTTATAATTGGAAAAATTAAATATATTCTTATAAATATTCTAGATTCATTTGGCATTTATAATTTATTAACCTAATAAAATGATTAAATTTAGATTAAATAATCTTTATTCAATTTTAAATTGAAGATGATAAAGCATTTTGATGCTTTACTTTTTTTAAGGGGAATTTTGATTGATAGATGATCTTTGAATATTTAATAAATAAAATTAGTTAGAATAATCAAATAAATCGTTAATTTATTAATTTGTTTATTTGAATTTTAAATTTTAATTTAAAAAATATTTTATAATTACTTTTATAAAAATTAATTTTATATATATATATATAATTTTATCTATAAAATATTATCAGAATTAGTTGACATTGCTTTCAGCTTTTTCAGCAATGATGTAACTTTAACTGGGTATGTCATAACCTAAATAGTATGCTTAGAGGACAGAATAACCAAGGCCAATATAATCAGTGTAAGCTTGAGGATAGATAAGTACTTAATAATTACCATTTTTTAGCTTTCTTGTATAGTGTTATGGTTTAATTATTATTTTAAATGGTTTATCACCATCTGCAATTACATTAAATGAAATATCCTTTAACTTTTCAATAGAATCTACGTTGAAAACATAATTTTCAATGTTAGCATCATCATCATAATACTCGTATTTAACTCCATCATTTCTAATTTATTTAAGTATAGCATTTAGTTATGTTATACCAATGCTGATGTAAGGATTAAGTAAGTCAAAACCAGCTACACTTCCAAATATAAATTAAAGATCTCCATATCTTAAGGAAGAATCTGAGGGTGTTGAAAAATCATCATTTTAATCATAATGCTTAAGATTTACCAATTTAGATCCTTTTTTTATTAAAGATAAGTTAGGAGTTCCAATATCAATGCTTCCTATTACACCTTTTGTTGTATCTATGCTGTCAACATTAACATAAAATCTTTTTTACTTTATCAATCCTTGTTTAAAGAGTTCATCAATTACATTGTCTTAAGTTTTACTGTCTTTTTTACTAAAGCACAGTGCTTTTTCTCCTTCAAAGCTAGATTGTGAATCAGGATTAGTAAATTTTAAATCAGCTTAAACATCACCAAGTTAAAACTTGGCAACATACTATTTCCCTCCAATAAATTTATTTTCACCAATTAACTTGACACCACAAGCCTTGAGTTCATTATCAGTTTGAGTAATTACATTAGAGCAATAATCATCTAAAGGTATTAAATTTACCTCACATTAGTTGTCTCCATATTTAGTATTTATTATTAAACTGTTTTATTCACTTATTTTCAAAGGAAGGCTAATTGTATTTGATTAGCAAATAACACAACTTAGTAATATAGCAAAAATAGCCAAATAAATGTTTTTATTCATCCGAAATTTCAGTCTCTAATAGTTAAATTGTTTATTTTTTTATTTAATCAATTACAATAAATTTTTGAATTTAAAAATAAAGTTTTTCCATATTTATTTATGATTAATAAACTGATAATATTTGATAAGAATTCACTTCATCAGTCTTTTATAAAAAGAAATAAAAGATATAAAGTGTAACTAATTTTATCTAATTAAGAATAAATGACTTAATTTAAATATTTTTTAAGAAATAGAATAATTATTTTTTTTTTTAATTTAAAAACTATCTTGCTTTACTTAAAAATAATTAAAATATAAATAAAACAATTTCATAAAAACATATTTATCATTAAACAGCTTTATTCACTAATCTTCAAATGAATGCTAATTGTGTTTGATTAGCAATCGACACAGCTTTGCAATATAGCAACAAAAGCGAAATAGATGTTTTTATTCAACAGGAATTTCTGTCTTCAATAATTAAATTGTGTTGTGTATTCATTTATTTCATCAACTACAACAAAATTTTTGAATTTTAAAATAAAAATTAGCAAATTTATTTAAAGTTATTATCTGATAATATTTTATAAGAATTCACTTCATCACTCTTTTATAAAAAGAAATAAAAGAAATAAAGAGTAAATAATTTTATCTAATTAAGAATAAAAAGCTTTAATTTTTTTTCATATTATATTAATTAATTACTTATTTAAATTCTTTTGTAAAAAAGATAAAATAATTGAAATTTTATTAATTTTATTTAATCTAAATATTAAATTGCTTGCTTTTACAAAAAACATATAATTTAATTAAAAAAAGTGTAATTATACTTTTTAGATAACTGTTAAATTCTTATATTGTTACTGATTCAATGTTTTTTACTAACTCAAATGTTTAATTCATTTAGAAAATTTTAGGTTAACAAATTTTTAACAATAGGATTAAATATCTTTTTTAAAGCTCCTATACTTCCTAAAACTTTATATTTATACAAACACTATTTTATCCTATTAAAGAATATGTTCATAGGAACTATTCTATTCAAAAATTCTTTTATATAAAAAATATTGCTTTTTATTTGAAATGAAAAAGTATTATTTAAATTTTAAGAGATTTCATATATATTTATTATATCCAATTATATTAATTTATATTAGCTAAGTTTATTTTAAAATAGATTTTAATTTTTTTAAGAAAAATTTGAAATAATTAATGAATCTTTGATAATAATAAATAATCTATCACTACCAGCTTTTAAATTGATACCAAAATGCAAAAATTTGAAAAATTTATTTGCTACAAGCTACTATTAATCCTCAAATATTAATGAATAATTCAAATAAAACCCCAAAAAATAAATAATTTTTGTATAATAACAAATTGAATAAAAATATATTTTTAATGAGAATTTATTATTTGAGGAAATGACCTATATTATAAACACAATAGTTTAAAAAATTAAGTTTATGAAAAACTATATTTTTAGAAATATATTAAATTAATTTGTTTTTTTTTTTTTCGAAAAAGTTAAAATAAATTATTTTATTATTGAATTAATTTTTAAGTTTTTAATCCTCATATTCTTGAGAAGCAAATATAAATAAGAAACAATTTATTTAGAAATATTTAATCAATTAATTGGTATTTGTAATTAAATAATTGATTTATTAGTAATTATTATGAGCATTCTTTATATTATATATTTTAAAATTATTATTTTCTTTTAATTAAAACTATATTATTCAGTTTGGGATATTGCTTAAATTATTTAGATATGTTTGATTATTAATTTTAAATTAATCGATTGTCTGTCTTTCTGTCTATCATTTAAATTACTTGCAAAAGCTAGTTAATGGAAGTTAGTGGTTATTATGGTTAATTGTACTAGGAATAGCATATCTAAGTTTTCCAATATTATTTTAAATTGGTTTTTCATTAGTAGAATAATAATTTTATTAATTTATAGTATTTTTTATATTATTAACAGATGTGTTTAAAGGTGAAGAGCTCCTAACATTCGTTAAATAATCATATGTTTAATTTAGAAGTTAGTAGCTATTTTCTTTGTTAGAATTTAATTTTTAAGAGTATAATGTTGATGGAATGTATTGCTTTTACATTATTTTTTGATTTTTGTTAAAATATGATGTATCGCTATTCTTTCTACCAAATTTATCTTAAGCTTAATAATTAAACTAATTTAAAATATTCCTTTCCTGTAAAACTTATTAATTTTCTAATTCTGATTAGTGATTGTAATTAACACTACTATTTAAATTATTTTCATTATAATTATTATTATTATTAAATCTTTTAGGCTGGTTAATTATTTATTATGCTTGCTATTAGCTAATGCAAGGCTAATAACTAACTTGGCTCTATAAAAAACAATTAGATGGTTACTACTATTGAGGTTGTTGATATTGTTAATTATAATTTAAAGTATTGTAATTAGCTTAACTAGATGAAGCACGAGCAAAACCATCATAAGAGGAGTTAGATCTATAATTTCTCGGGTTTTATTAAACTTCACTTGCTATTGAAAGACCATTATAATCATTTGGATTGAGAGTATTTTTAAAGCTAAATAAATTTATCTAAGAAGAATTCAAAAATCGTTGAATCCCACTTTCTTAAGAAGAAGTTCTTTCTTTTAGCCTGTTATCTAGCACAACTTATTAATTTTATGGAGAGATTTAAGATTAATCAAATTATTCGCTGCTTAAATTAAGAGCTGAATTATTTAATTAACTTTTGTTTAGCTTTTATTCTATTTGGTTTTGCTCAGGAATCTAAAAATTCTCAATCTACTTGTTTAAAGAATTTCTTCTTAATTCTGTTAAATTTTTTTCAATAAATTTTGTATTTGTTTAAGTCTCATTTGTCAAGTATTCTTAGGTTAATTCATTATTTTAGTTTATATCTTAATTAATTTTTTTTAGCTAATTTTAAGTTTGCTCATTTCCAAGAGTATAGTTTTTATCTGTAAATTAATAAGTAAATGCCTATCCTATTTTGTGCTCAAGTTCATTAAAAAACTAAAATAATTATTATTATAAAAGTTTATGAATAAGTTGTTTCATTTGTTTTAATAAAAAATTACAAACTGTAAAATAAAAAATTTAGATAATTTTTTAAATTAATAAAATAGATATAAATTTAAAAAAATATATATTTATAAAATCCCCCCTTGTAAAACTTGTAAAAGGATTAATTTTAGTTATTATGGTATATTTAAATTGTAATAAATGAATACCTTTTATTCTTAGGAACTACTCATTTATTACATTTTTTTTATATATTACTCTTTGACTTTATTATTTTCAGTTGAAAGTTGGTCACAATTAGCTCTAAGTTCACTTAACTATTTTAATGAAAGCTCATTTTCTCTTTCTAAGTCTTTTAATTTTAATTTAAGATCCTTTTTTTTTAAAAAAAAAACAAATTTAGTTTAATTATTAGCAAGTAAATAAATATTTATTTACTTAATTTTCATTTCTGAATTTTGAAAGATCCTCTTAAGTTACTCTAAATTGTTACTTAATTTAAGCAAACTAGCTCTCAAGCTAAACGATAGTGTCATCCTTAATAAAAATGAATAAAATTTGTTTTGAAGACATGTTATTTTTAAAAGAATTACTTTTTATTTCTGAATAATGTCAAATTTGTCTATTTAATATTGCTACTACTTTATAGTTGAGTTTAGTTAGCAAATTAATATGTCATTTGTTTGCTGTTTAACTTATTATTCATGATAAAATTTTATTTTATCTTTATAACTTTCTTAATCACACAATTTTTCTTTCAGCTCTTTTTAAAGATTGAATATTATTTGATCTCTTTCCTTTAATTCTTAAAGCAGATTTTCACTATTACCTTTTTCCTTACTTTCGTTAGAGTTGTTTTTTAATTGAAAATTCTTTATTTGTTCTTATAGCTCTTTTATAATATTTTCCTTTTCAACTACTTCTTATTATAGCTCTTTTATTTATCTAATATAATGAATGTTAATAAGAAATAAATAAATAATTAATTTATATGTTACTTAGAGTGCTCTTCATAACTAATATAAGATTAATTTTTACTGTTTTATTCTTCTATCATTCTCTTGCGTTCTCTCAAATCAATTAATTCTTTTAAATAAATAATTCAGTAAAATTCATAAAAATTTAATGGAATGAATCATTTTATTTCAAAACTTTTTCATTTTTTGTTGAAATCATTAAGTAAATATTTAATATTCATCAAGTGTTTTTTTATGATAAAAATAATTTGTTTTAAAGTGAATAAATTAATTTAAACCTTGCTCTTTGTCTTGAATAATTTTTGATAGATTAGATTTAGGGTCAATGTTTTTGTTTTTTTATAAAAGATCTAAATTTTTTTCCTTTTCTATTTGTTTGGAGAGGACATTTTTGAGCTATCTTTTAATAATAAATAAAAATAAATTGGAAATTCATTCAATATTTTATCATAATTTTGCTTACATTTTTTACTTTTTATTCATATCGATTTCGAAACTGTTATCTGAAGATTCAATAGGAGCTCTCATTTTTTAGTGAGAAGTGTTATTTGAAATTTTAAATTCTTCGTTATTAACTTAGACTGAGTTGGTGATCGTTGTAATATCGCAGATATTATTATGAAGATATGTGCTTTATTCTTCATTAGAATTTATTTGAATAATATGTTTCATATAAAAATCTTAATTAAAATCATCTTCTTTTTCATTTGAATCATTTTCGTTTTCATTTTCATTTTCAGAAGAAGCAAATGTTTACTACCTATTTTCTGTTTTATTTGTAATGTTCTTTTCTTGAATGTTTATTGAATTGAGACTATGAAGCTTTTCTATGTTTTTTTGATGCTATCTAAGAGAAATCACATTTTCTTCAGTTTTATATTATGCAGGCGGATTTAAAATACCAAATAGGTTGTCATAAGACTTTTTTGTGCTGTTAACTCTTTCTTGTTTGTTTGAAACAACTCCAATCTAATCTTGAATGTCAATTTAATTTCCAATTTTATATTCCTGCTTAGACTAAGTAAAGAACTACCTGTTTTTGCATAAAACATGATCATTTTAGTTTTCTGTTTGAGAAGGCGATTATGATGACTAATAACTAGCTTGTTATTATCTTTTTTAACGCTATTCTACTTGTATATCTAATTTCAATTCTTTATTTTGAGATTATTATTAATGAATGTCTTCAAAAATTTAGTTGAATTTCTCTGTTTTTGAAGTGTGAGAAATTTTATTTTACTTTTAGTTTTCTAAGTTTCTCTAATTTTGGTAATTCTCAACACAATCAGTATCTTGCTCTAATTAGTCAAACTTAAACGAGCTGTTTGAAAGATAGAGAGGTATTTGACCTGATTATTCTAATATTTTTTTAGCCTTTTAAAAGCTTGCATCAGTAGCCTACTTATTTGTTTGTTCGCTAAGAATTACTTAAATATTTTGCTACCTGTTTTTGCTGTTCATTTTTTGTTTGTTCTATATAAAAAGATCTATTAATTAATTAATCAATTTATTTATTTATTAATTCGTTATTAGTTTAAAAATATTTATTTTCTTAAATTCTTGATTTAGTTTAGCCAATCAATTAAAAATCAAATGAACATTCCAAATTCATCAATTTGCCTCAATTTTTTGATATGATTTCAAATTATTAATTTAATAACGGATACAAAAAAACAAGCAAACAAATAAAATAACTAACAAAAAAAGAAGCAAGCAAAAAAATTTCACTCAAAATATCTTCTTCATATTATTTATTTGATAAAACCTTATATTGAACTTAAATCAAATATAATTATTAATAATTAAAAAAAATAGGGTTTCTATTGATCTATTTTTTATTAATTTATTTATTTAAACTATTAACCAACCCTCCATCCTCCAAAAATTTTTATCTTATTCTTAAAAAGAAATCTATTTTATTTTTGGAATGGGAGTTTGATATTTGAAATACATATTAATTTTTATTATAAACTAATATTAGGTTTCTGATATATTAATCTACAAATAAACATCATTTTTATAAAAATACATAAATTTAGATTAATTAAATTTGTTGAAAGCCTAAATAAACAATGATATTTATTATTAAATATATTGCTAAGTGATATCTTAAGTGAAAATAAATAAATATATTTTTTAACCTATCGATAATAAAATTATCTTAAACGGTTTCAAACGACTGATTCAAAAGATTCAATGTTATTCTATAAATATATTATTTATTTATTGATTAGTTTTTTAAATTAATTAATATAAAAAAATTACCTAATTGAGATAAATAAGTGAAAACAAATCGTTATAATAACTGGGATAGTATTTACAAATACGGTTGCTGTCAGGAGAGAAAGTCATTTCTAAAAGTTTAGGTTAATAGGTTCCGTTTTCAATCATAACATCCATTCCATATACAGATCTTGACTATATTTAATAAATTATTAATATAATATGATACGTTTATTATATTTAGTTTATTTTTAACTAAAAATATTTTAAAATTTATTTATTTTTTTATTAATTTACGTTTTCACAGTGCATTTTAGGGTATTTTGTGGAAACTGCTATGAATAACTCTTTTACCATGCTCTTTATTTTATTAGAAATATCACTCCATTTTATTGTTGGGTTTTCTTCTTCAAAGATTTTAATGAATTCTTCTTGTAAGATTTCATTCATTTTTTTACCTCCATAGTTCATGACTGTGAAATGTGTTTCATAATTTTCACGTGATCTATAGTCATTAGTGAATTCATTGTTAGAGGAACGTATAACAAAGTTTTTATATATGTATACTTCTAAGGGTTTAATCTTATATAAAAAAATTAATTAGTATTTTTAGATAAAACAACTTATTTAATCAATTTTACAGATCTGACTGCAACCATGAATCTTAAATCTATCTTCTTTTTCTAGATAGTTAATGGATTTTGAATATATTTTTAAGCAAGCCTTGGTAAAGTTTCTGTTTATCTAATTATTTAATCTAGATTATCAGTAACTATCATATCCATGCTTCTTGCTAAATCAAAAGCCTTTATAATCCAAATATTGTCTTCTAATGTATTTTATCTTCTTTAATACTCACCAATAAATTCACTTAACTAATACTCTAAGTTAAATGTTTATTATAGCCAGTCTACTTATCCAATACTTTATATTTAAATATATAAGGATTAAATAAATGTAAAAAAACATTGAAGTTTCATAGGGAAAAAAAATATTTTATTCAATTAAAATTAATTAAATATAAAAGTTTTTAATTTAAAATGATTTAAAATATTAAATTTATGTTTTTAATAAATAGATAAGCAAATAAATAAATAAAATTTACGTTGAGTAAACAGTCTAAGCAAGGTGCGCCTTATGAATGATACACTACTCGTAAGGGAATTAATTACATAAATGAGTATTCATCAAGTCTTTGAGCCTATTTTAGAAATTGTAAACTAAAAAAGCAACATCTGCCTTTTATTCATCTTCTATAAGTTCGAATTCTTTTAATGTTAGGTTATCTTTGACTAATTAATAATCAGTAATAACTCTCAAGGGCCTTTAAGAAGGTACTTTTCCTACCTATTTTATTTAGAATTATTATGTTAATTTCAAAAGTTATCTAACTAAATTAAAATATTTACAATTAAGCCTTCTTAATTTTTAAATTATTTTATTAAATTCTTCCCCATTAATGTTTAATGCATTAATTTATTTTTATAATCTTAGATGCATTTGGCAAAGTATTCTTCGGGAACCTTAAACCAAGTTGTTAATCTTGCAGATCTTTGTTTCGATTCATCAAATCCTGCTAAATAGTCTCTATAAACAAGATCTCCTGCTTGTATATTATAAATAGGCCAAACAATAGAATAAGATTTTATTTCCTATCCATCTTAATCCTAATAAAAAATATGATTAAATTAATTTTTATTTATTTTAAGCTTAAATTATTTACTGAATTTGAGGGCGAATACTAAAAAGGTATCATTTTCAGATTGGGCTAGTTGTATTGTTTTAGAAAAAAAAAATAATGAAATAATATTATAGGATATGAATTAAATTAAAATAAATACTGTGTCTGAATGCTGAATAGCTATCCCTTAAAGTTAGTTTAAAAACCAAGTTGGAGTTTCTCCAGCTTCGTTTTTTCCAAGCTTGTAGTAATTTCCAATAGATTTCCATATATTTTTTGTTATAAACTTGATATCTTCTTCATTTTCTTAAGGTTTCTTGTAACTTAAAAAACGTTCATTTATTTTTTCTAAAGTTGGACAAACTTCTTTCAATTTTCCTATCTCTTGTAAATCCCATAATTTAAGTTCATATTCAAAATCTATGAATAAACTAGTGAGCTTATTGCAATTTTAAAGAATTTATAGCAATTTATTAAATTTATCTTCAGTATCGAAATCATTTTTCTAATTAAAATATGTTAAGATATTTATTTGTTATCATAAATAAAAATAATATAACTATTAAATATAAAATAATAAAAATTACTCTGACATCCAATTAAACCAAATTTTTAAATTGGCTGAATACTTCAAAACTCTTCATATTTAAGACTTCTCTATTAGACAAATCCAATTATTTAATCATTTCTGTTTTAATCTTATTTGTCTTGTCTAAATTATATTTATAACTGCAGTATTTTATACCGAATTCCCCTAATTTTAAAATCAGATTGTTTAATTTAAGTCTAAATTGATTTAAAATACCAGAATTAGATGTTAGCTTTGAATTTAAAATTTCAATTTAAGGGAATTCGTTTTCAATAGTATCTTTAAAACCAAGTTCCTCGCAAACTGGATTGTAATTTAAAAACAAACACTTCAAATTTGGGAGTTCTCTTAACATGATTTTAACTAACTCTAATGACTTTATTTAATTATCAAAGAAAGAAACGCTCACTGTTGTTTTTGGAATCTTTTTAGATTTTATATTTATAAAATGAGAATAAATAAATAAACTATTGTAAAATATTATCTTAGCGAATTTTTTTACCTTGTAAGTAGAAGGGTCCACTATCTCTAAAGAATCATATTCCTCGACTCCTTTAAACTATATAAATTTATCATTAATTTAATTTAAAATATTTTAATTTATTATATTTTAAAAGGGATAGAAAAATTTAACTTTTCTAAGTTATTTTTTCTTTTTTTAAAACTTTATTAATATTGCTTTTTTTCTAAATATTTTAATTTTATTTACAAATACCCCTATTTTCAACATGGTAAAAACTATTTCATTTATATATTTGAAGATATTAAAAATCTAATTATTATCAAAACTAAAATAATTTTGATATATTTTGCTATTTTTTTAATTGAAGTTAATCAATTAATTAATGATTCACTTATTAACTAAATATTAAATTACTTTTTAAGTAGGCTGCTCTAATCCAGGAATTTTTTTCTTTTCATCAAAATATTAAAGATGGTATTTAAGTGTTTCAACTAATTCTTGATCCTTTTCTAATATATTTCTAAGTTCATCAGATTTAAAAGTAAGCTAATGGTCAATTAGAAAAACCTATAAAATTATTTATTTGTGATAAAAAGTAAAATTTATTCTCTTAATTGTTTTACTTATTTTTTATTCAAAAAATTTACTTAAAATAATAAAAATTAGAGAATAGTTAAGCTAATATTGCTTATTAATAATTCATATAAAATTTAATTATTTTACAAACAATTTTACATCGAAAATGATTTTTGGATTTGCTAAGAAAATTTTAGCATAAATTAATGAATAAAATATTTTATAAAAACATTTTGTTTAAATTATTATTAATCAAATTATAAATGAATGATATTCCATTCAATCAATTAAAATTATACATTTTTAGATATGTTTTTTAAATTTATGATAAAAATCGGTTTAAATTCGCTCATTAATGCTAATAAAGTTGATATTATTCGACTTAAATGCTCACATATTATAGTGAGAACTTGCATTAAAAGATAATATCAATCAAAATTTCATTAATGAATAGATGTAATCTCTACATGCTTTTTATGATTACACAATTTAAAATAAATGAAAGTCTATTCAAATAACTAACTAAAAATAAATGATAAGACTTACATTAGAATCTTTTTAAATATCAGCTGAAGCTACTACTTAGAAGGTGTCATCGTTTTAATTATCCTAAATCTTTTTTATGGTGATAATATAAATATATATATATAAACAGTCACATCATTCATTAATTTTAGATTGCCTTACTTAAAAGTATTCTGCAAAATCGAATGTTTACTTTTCTAATTTATCTGCTAAAACAGAAACTAACTACGCAGGTAATCCTCCCTCTTATAATTAAAATTTATGAAAATTGTAGAATGCTTAATGCTTTTCTGAAAGTAGAGTTTACATATCTTAAAATTGAGTAAATATAAGTTTTTAATTAATTAATGTTTTTTTTAACAAAAAAAAGATATATTAAATAATCTATTAATAGATGAATAAATAATTAACTGTGCAAAAGTAAACAGAGCCAGACTACTTCTTTTAATCATAGAAAATTAATTTTCAGATAAAATTTATTTATACCTATTGGACTAAATTTGTCTATCTGCCTATCTACATATTATTTATTAATTAATTAAATAATTTGTAATTATTTTATAAATGTTCATTAGTTATATTACATGTTAGTATTTTATTCATTTTAGCATCAAAAACTCTTATTTCCTAGTTTAAAGGATTATTAATTTTTATTATTATTATTTTTAATTCAATTTATAGCATGTAAAAATAAAGAAGATTTTATTTTACTTTAATGTTTTTTTTTTGATTATATCATTAGTAATTAAAATATTTTGCTAAATTTTACAATTTAATAGCTTGCTTTTAATAAAACTCAATAGTTACAATAAATATTGTAATTAGGCAAAACGATTAAATATATAAAACCTTCTAAATATTTTTCTTTGATATTATTTTTCATTCTGTTTTCAATACCAAAATTTAATATTTTTTTTATTAAAAAATGTATCCTTATTAATTATTTTTCAACAAAAGGTTCACATTTATTTTATTTGTCAGCCAAATATTTAAATAAATAGATAAAAATAAAGCAATACTCTACTAATTATAAAATGAAATATTAAATTAAGATTTATAACAAATTAAAAAACAGAAGAAGGAAAGATCTCTAAAATTAATTTTCCAATTTTATTTTATTACTGAATATCATATTTTAAACTTTCGAGTTAGTTATTTTTTCTCATATAATATTTAATATTGTTTAGGGTTGTTTATCTTTCAGCTGTATTTTATAATTTGAAAAAAGGTTTAAACTATAATTTAAATTTTAAATAAAATAAAATTCCATTTTGATCAGAAATAAATAAATTTACAAATATGTTTATTGAGTTTATAAAATAGAAATATTGAAATAAAATGTTTTAAAATTAATAATTTAAATAAAATATTGATTATATAAATAAATGAATTTTGATAGAGAGATAGATAGATAAATTAATAGATAGGTATATATATTTAATTTCTTTTAAGTAAATTTAGTAATCTCATTCAATAAAGTAAATGTTAAACATTCATTTATAAAAAAATAAAATTAGGTATAGTCACTTATTTATTTTCCTATTGATAGATTTATTAAAATCTATTGCTAATATCAGCCAATATTCTTACATTCTTATGACAAAACCTAAGCATCTAATATAGTCAGAAAACTAAAAAACTAAAATATAGTGAAATATAGTGCAGCTTTTATTGATGTAAAGTAAAGCAACTAGATAAAATAGATTACATTGATTTTTGACGCTAAAAAGCAATTAAAAAATTAGGTATTTAGCTTAGCTTACTTTACTTTACTAAAAAAAATAAATATTAATAAAAGTAATATTAAACTGATTGTTTTTTTCAAACAAACAAAAATTTTAAGATTCTTTAAAATAGCCACTGATTCAGACTAAAAATAATATAAAATAGCCAAAGATTATTAAAAAAGTATAAGCATAAGCAAATTTTATTATTTGAATTTTTGTGCAAAAATAAAATTCAAGCAATAAAGAAGCATCAGCTTAGAAGCAAATAAATAAACATGCAATTAATTAATTAATTATCAGAATAGAGAAAAAATTCTAAGATAGAAAATAAGTTATGACATCATTTTTTTAATAATTCCTTCGGTTTTAGATAGAAAATAATCATAAAAATACAAATATTAGAATGGATTAACTGTGATTCATTTATAATAAAAATCTACAAACAATAAAATTAATATTTTTGTTACAGCAGTTCTAAAAAAGTTTCTTTCAAGACTATAAATTTGATTTTCAAAGAGGTAGTGGAGCTCTTAAGATAATAATTAGTTAGCAAGTATTTAATAGTTAATTATGACTAAAAGTTGTATTAAAGACTTATATGCTAATAATATTTCTAGCTTTAAAATTACTTAATATGAGATTACACAATTATAAATAGCAAACGCGATTACAGTAATTACTTTTACTTACAAACAAAGGTAATAAATCCTGTAAGATGAAATTTTTACTAATTAGCAAATTGATTAGATTAATTCATTGTATTTTCTTATTTATTTTAAATAGATTGCAAATATAATCGATCACTTAAATTAGTATATAATAAATGATAAGTTTTCAGTATTACTTCCAAAATCCATCTCATTTTATTTGAGATATTTAAATATTAGGTTGTTTTAAAATTACACTAGAATTTTTAAATGTATTTTTTGATTGATAAATAAATAAATACTAGACTTTTAACTTTAAATTTGATTGTTTTAAGAAAAAATAAATTTTTTCTAAACATGTTTTTAGTTTTTAAAAATTTTAAAATGGTAATTATCGAGAAGTGAATGAAGTAGATGTATTTATTGATAACTTAAATAGGGTTATAAGTATGAATTTTTGAGCTTTAATAATTAATAGCTGTTTTCTATAAGAATGATTAAGTTATATTTTCTAATAAATATTATAATCTTTATTTACTAATTTATCTATTTCAGGTTATATGGAATATTTGTTATAGAGGAGACGCTTTAGATATCTACATGAAAAGATATTTATTTATTCTATATATATTAATTAATATATTAAGTTTTATTTTATCATTCATAATAGAATACAAAATTTATTTTTAACAAGAAACAAAATAATATTATGTGGTTTTATAATTTTTGCATGGTAAAATAAGAAAAGAATTATTTTTGTCAATATATTTGTAAGAATTTTAATATATTTTGTAGGATGTTTCTAAAAGAATAATCGAATAAATGATTGTCTGTCTGTATGTATAAATAAATGTATGAACAAATGAAAATAATTACATAACTGTTAATATTTTGTATGCTGGTTAAATCTGAGATAAAAGAATAGTGGGAAATCAATAAAAATAAAATAGAGTCAAATATTATGATTATGAGTTGGTTGATAAATAAATCTAATCAAAAGTAAATTAATAATTATTTTTTTCTTTCTCTCATTCTATTTCTTAAGTTTTTAATATAAATTGAGATTAATCATTAATGATTTGTGAATACTTTAACATCTTTGCTATTAACATTGGTAAAAAGATTTAAGTTACATTTACTTTTTGTCTTTTTTGAAATCATTTTTATTTGAAGGTAGCAAAATCAAATGAAGAACGTATTTTCTAAAAGTCTATTTAATAAAAAATATCTTTTTATCTTTTTATATTTAAAAACTTAAAGGGTCGATTCACAGATTTTGTTGGAATTATCAATTTCAATTAGCTTAAATGTATCTATCTATAATTAATTGGATTAAAAGAATTTTTGTTTCAATAATATTTTAGATTTCTAGTTATTTGATCTACTAAAGAATATTAATTTTCTAACAAAGCTTTCAAAATAAATCATTGGTAAATCCAGACTACATATATGTGTATGCTTTTACTCTTCATGAATTTTGAATTTGGTAAGAAGATTTTACTCTTATTACATTAATTTTATTGATAAATTTAAAAATTGTATTCCATTAATTAATTATTCACGCAAAAAAATTGAATTCAAAATACCAAAAATCTTAATTTAATTCAAAATACAAGAGAATTTTAAATAATTAAATGTATTTTTAAACTATTTTTTTGTTTTGTTTATTTGTTTATAAAATAGTTTTCAATTATTCTATTGGTTTATTTTGTTACTTTCAATTCTGGCATTTATTTTAAAAATGCTTTTAAATATACAAGTCTGTACTCTTACTCTGATTGGATTAAGTGATATCCTTTTAGGACTGATTTTTCCCACCTTTAGAATGAGTAATGTTTTTTATATAAATTTATTTATCAGTGGTGTATTAGATGTGATCAATTTACGAATTAATTTAAACCAATATCCAATTAAATTTCTTTATTAATAATTATTAATAAGAAAGATTTGATAAAAATAATTCAGAAAAAAAAGAAGTAAATACATATTTATTTAAAGTGTGATCAATCACAATAAAAACAAATTGTTTCATATAAAAAAACCTAATTATAATCAACTTCTTGCTTATTCTTAAAATATTTGCGTTATGAAAATAGATTTGCTATTTTTTACTCTCTATCAAATTATGTTTCTTTTGATGAAAAACTCTAAAGTCATAGGTAAAAACTAATTATTTAAATTCTTGTTTCAAATTTAAGTAAGAGAACAAAAATAATATTTTGATCTAATAAAATTCTTGAACTATTTTGGTTTACTTACCTTATTATATTTCTACTACTAACTCTTTAACTTTAATTAATTGTTTAGATCAACTCAAATAAATTTTTTAGTGATAATAAACTCTAAATATCTAAATTAATTCATCTCTCTAACAATATCCGATCTGTTATTTGATATTTGTAAGACTAGATTTTTGCCTGAAAATATTATTTTTCAAAAAATTTTTTTTTGCAAAACAATTTTTCTGTATTAGTATTGAATCAAAAATAAATATCTCTATTGATTTAGCATTTAATTTGGAAATAGCAGAGCATTCAGGCATGTTACATTTAAACAATTTACTCAAATTCAATTAATTAAAAATAAAATTAAGCATTTATTAGAAGCAAATTAATAAAAAGATAGAGATCTGTTTTTGTTAAAATTACTTTTAGATATTTAAAAGCTTTAAAAGATTGACTAGTTATTAGTTAGCTAGCTTCTGCCAAAAATAATTTTTATTTAAATTTTAAATACCCTTTTCTATTTACTTATTAGATATTGCTTAATTATTTTAATTAGATTTAGTTCTAAAAATTAATGTAATCAATATTTCAAAGTCTTAAAAGAAATTCTTTCTTAAAAATGTTAATTAATTTTGAGATCTATTACTAACTAATCCCCTCAATTAGATCAATGATAAATTAATTAATCTTTACTTCACTATTTTATTATTCTTAGCTTAAAGTATATTTGACAATTTATATTTTATTTATTGAAAAAAGCATAAAAATCTTAATGCAGCATCGAGAACTATTAAGTAATCGCAAATTAGTGTAACAATTGCAGCTTTAAATGCTAGATTTGCAATGCTTGGTAAGTGTGTATACAGTGCTAACCTGGGTATTCGCTTTTTACTACCTTAGATTAAAGAGTAATCTGTGTTAAAGTTTGTAAGACATTATGGGTGACTGACTCAAGTGGGAACAGCTACTTGTAGGGTTTCTTTATTAAAAACGGAAAGTGTATTTCTTGCTAAAAAGGATGTCTAAACTGTAATGATAATTTATCTTGCTTTGAATGTGGAAACTATAGAACAGGTATTTCTATTTAAGATTAATAAAAATGTGAAGTATTAGTACCAGGTAGTTGTCCTATTGGTACTGGATTTGAGAAAAGAATTAAAAGGTGCTTAGATTGCTCTTATGCTTCATCTAACTACTAAACTGCAACATCAGTATATCCGATTGATCCTTTAGTTTGTCAACCAACTGATATTTACTAAGCTAAGTACTGTCCATAAAAAGCATTTTTATTAAATGGATTATGTATTAATTCTTAAAGTGCCCCACCAAAAACCAATCCAATATCAATTTAAGAATTAGAAAAAAAATTACCTATAGGTTGTATGTAGGCAATTTATATCCCATCAGTTTATTGTTATTAATGTAGTCCAAACTATTATTATACATTAAATGGTTCATAAAAAATGTGTTCAGGTAAAAGTAATAATGGAGTTGGTAACTGCCCTTTAAATAGTTTACAAGTATGTGATAAATGCTCATAGAATGAAGCTTTAAATTTAACAGAGGCGCCTTACAATTCTTCAGACCCTGCAAGATAGGATATCGACGACTAAGACCCAAGTATGGCTTGCAATATAAGCATTTAAATAAGATAGAGATACTCTTACAATATTGATGAGACTGTTTGCAAATCTTTGTAAGGATTTTTATTTCCTCCTACTAATCCTTCGAATCTCTCTTAAAAGTAGGTATGCCTAACTACTTGTCCTTCTAGCATAGATGATTAAGGTTAGTATATAAATTATTATACTTAGTGGAAAACTGTTACTTTAGATAGTAACTAAAATGCTAATGTTTAAGGAACTTGCGTTACTTAATGTAGTGAAGGATATGCTATTGATGAGTAAAACAAATAGTGTTAACAGTGTACAACATCAGTACCTAATTGCAGTAGATGCAGTATAACTAATTTAAATTAATGCATAGCTTGTAAATAGGGATACTACTTGACTGATTTAGGTACTTGTGTGAGTAGTTGCTCAAATATTTCTATCACTAAAAATGGAATTTTATACTGTTTGGCTTGCAATATAAAAAATTGTATTAGCTGTTCTTCATCTTCTTAATGCAATTAATGTTTGTACTATTTTGACCCAATTACTAATTGTTCTACTTGTGCAGCAGGTTACTCTCAGCTATGGAATGACAGTTCTAAGTGCATTGTTTGTAATACCTAAAGCGCTTATTTCTATGTAAAAGACTAGATTTGCCACGAAACATGTGGAAAAGGTTACAGAATTAATGATGAATTGTAGTGTGATGACGGAAATTTAATAAACGGTGATGGTTGTGATTCTAATTGTAAGATAGAACCAAATTTTAAGTGTTCAGGTGGATCTCCAACAAGCAAAGATGTTTGTTATAAGATAGATGTAGATGAAGCAATTTAACAAAATACAGACCCAAACTTCAAATTTTATGTAAGTTTCAATGTAACTAAATAAGGATAGCCATTGGTTTAAATAGTTTTTACTCAATAGCCAATAATAAATCCAAATATTCCTCTAAACGATGTATTTCAGATAAGTATTAGTTCTCTCAATCCTGACTAATACAGCTATAGTATTAAATCAATTTCGAGCAGATTCTTATAACTAAATGATTTGGATAATCTTACGATCAAATAAAAATAAAAGTAAGCTAAATAGATGGAAAATTATAAAAATAATTTAAAGCAAAGAAGATTGTAAAATATTTATGGCTTTAATGTATTTTTATAATTAAATAACACACTTAAAAACTAGTAAGTTATCGTTTAAGTAAATCAAACACAAATAAAAAACTAAAATGGAAAACTCCTTTACAAAAACTAAGAAGTTGCACCTATTTAAAATTATGTTTATGTCAGCTCTGAAGATAAAAAGTAAGCAGACTAAATTGCAACAGCAGCTTAGTCAACTTAAGTAACTATAGCTATATCAGGTTTGTCTTTTGCTGTAATGAATAACTTTTATTCACTTATGGCTATTGTAGATATAACTGAACTTATATACTATTTCCTCTTTTTGGACATAGAATATCCTAAAAACGTCTTTTCCTTTTTCTAGCAATTCGATAATTTTTAAATGCCTTTCTTGCCAAACCCTTTTGAGAATTATGTGGAAGACGTAAAATAAAATTGCAATCCCCATGTTTACTCTTTAGATACGGACTCTCTTTTCTTGCGTAACTCTGGAACTAATATTTTCGCCATTTGTCTATTCTTTGGTTTCTTGATTGCCTTTAGGATAATCTAGATTTTACTAAAAAAAATTCTTGCTAAATGTGAAAAATTCAATTCTTTCATGTATAAATGCGCTATGAAACTTTAGTATAATATCTCAATCGAAGTAGTTTATGTTGTGTTTTTAAATTTCTGTGCTTCTTCTTTTCTTCAATTTCAAGATACTACAGTTAGTGATTCTACCGAAAAAGAACATACTGCTGAATTAGTTAATATAATTGTTTTTTCTATTTGTTTCCTTGGTCTCTTTGCAGTTCCTACCTCCTAGCTCATTTTCTTGTACAGAAATAGAAAAATCATAGAATTCGATCTAGAAAACTATGAATCTCAAATCGAGACAAGCATTAATTTAGAAAGTCCTCAAGTAAAAAGACCATCATCTCACACATTATAAGAAAAGCAAAAAGAGAGAAGAAATATGATAATAAAAAATTTGAAAAATTGTGATGAAACTTGCAAAGAAAAATAGTAAAGAAATAACGATGAATGTTAAAACCCAAATGAAAATAAGATTAAACAGACATCAAAATTATAAAATGAAATGTCAGATAACTAGCTAGATGATGAGTAAATAAAAAAATTAAAATTAGCTCAGGAGCATATTGAGTTTCTAGAAAAATGGGAAGCAATAATAGTCGGTATGAAAACAAGTAATTTCAAGTTCTACTGCTTCAATGTTATCACTTACTATAGAAAGATGATCATAATGGCAATCATAATGTGTCTAATGGATTATACAGAAATACAAGTGCAATTACTTGTTTTTTAACATATTTGTGTTGCTGTTTACATCACAAAATACATGCCTTTTGAGAAATTCGCATAAAATATTATAAATATATTATCAGAAATTCTCTTTATTTTATTGGAGTTATTCGTAATTCGTCTTTCTTCGTAGGCTGTTGATTAAGCTGATTAAGATGAAAGAAATCACATTGGTTTGTGGATTATTTGCTTCTTTTTATCAATTATAGGCATTCATATTTTGCTTATGATATATGAAACTATACATAAAATTTATGAGATTATCCATGATAAAATAGGGCGTAAAAAGCATAAAATTTTATCTATTGTTGTTCCTTAAAACAAATAAATAGAAAAACAAGAAAAAAACATAGATTCTGGCTCTAATTAAGCTAATAACTCTATAATTATGAATAAAAAAACCATGCAAGAATCTAACATATAAAAGTAAAACTAAGAAAACAAAATCACTTAAGAACCAAAAACCATCTAATTTATGGAGTCGTTTGCTACTAATATTAGAACTCCTTAAAACATGAAAGTTTATAAAAGTGACAATTTAAAATTAAATATAAAAGATACAAGTCCATTGTCAGAGGAAGGAGCCTAAATAAATAAAAAGTCTTCATCAGATGATGATTATGAAGCAGATGATTTCGAAATGAATGTCATCAGTAAAAATAATGTTAATGGGTTTATGACACCAACAAGTACTCTTCCAATTAAAATAAAAAATAGCAGAAGAAGATCTACTAAAACTTAGGACTAAACTCCTTTTGGTATGAAAAGCAATAGACTCTCTGTCATATTTAAGAATGAGCCAGGTTAGTAAACTTTTAATGAGCAAGTAAAAGCTCATTTAAAAATCCCATGCCTCCAAGAAATACACGAATGTTCAAGTTCTCCAACTAACCAAAATAGCGAAATCAATCAAAAAGAGACAGACAGATACAAAAATTTCTAACACATAAGTTAATTAAATTCTGCAAATAGAGACTCATAAAATTCACTAAACTAAAAGGAAGAAAGCACATAAGAAAAAATAAGGCAAGCTAAATCTAGACCTAGAAATGTGAGTCGCTTTTCTCTTATCAATATTTAAAGTGATAACTAACTAGTTTAATCTAATACCTAAATTTAATTTTGAAAGCTAAAACTTAGTCAATCACTAAGACAGGCAGTCAACCAACCAACCAACCAATCAATCAACCAATCAATCAATCAATCAATCAATCAATCATTCATTTTGAATAGATGCACTTAAATCATATTATTTATCTTAAATTACTCCAATTTTTCTAAATATTTTTTACTTATATGTCTATCCATTCACTAACAATTCCATATACCTATCTATTATTTATTTATTAATACTTCATTTTTACTTATCAAATAATTTATTTACAAAAACGCTTATTCAAAGAATATTTTTTAAAATATTTATTTGTATTTAAATGGTTAATTTCTACAATTGCTACTAATTAAATTAAAAATAGCTGTTTTATCTGAAAATTATTGGAAATTATTTATGCTGTTTTAATAATAATCAAAGCACTCCAAAAAACTGGCTATTTATTTTTATTTCACATTTTACTAAAATTTTACTCAATATAAATATCTCTAGTGATTAAAATTTAAAAATTAAGTATATGAATCAAAGTAAAACAAGCAAATAATTATCATTATAAACTTAAACAATTATAAAATAAATTTACAATTAATTAAATTTGATATATTATCCAAATTTTTATTATTTTCTTTTTTTAATATTTTGATTGATCAAATTTAATAATTTATTTAGTAATTTGATTGTTTTGCATATTTTGTATTTTTTGATACCAACTTCAACTGCTAGATTAATTTATCTTTTTTTAAAAATTTACTAATTGGCTTGAAAGATTGATCAAAAAAGAGCTAAATAAATATTTATAATAACGATTAAATATTAAGGAGAGAAATTTTTATCAATCAAAATTAATATTATATATAATTTATAAGTATTCTAATTGATAGATTGATTCATTTAATTAAACTTAAAAAATATTAGCACGCAAATCTCATAAAAGCAAAAGAAAAATTTATTTGAGTGATGTAGAAAAAATAGCAGACAACTGACTTAGATGTGGGAGTTATTCACTTCACCCACTCCAAAATTAGAGGTCAATTTACAGGATGTGGAAAAATGCTTGAAGAAACTTTAAAGGAAATAAAAGAAGGTACAACAAAAATAGATGACATTCCTAGAATAAAAGTAATATTTGATGGAAACAGATATTATTCTATGAACAACAGACGTCTTTGGGTTTTTAAATAATTACATGCAGAAGGGCTC